CGAGGAGAAGGAGTAGGAGGCAGCAGCAGGATGGGAGGGATGAGGGAGCAGGAAGAATGAGGAGGAAGAGGATGATGAGGAGGAGGAAGGGAGGAGGAGGACAGATGATGGATGAAGGATGGAGGATATGAATGATGATAATAATCACGATGACGAGTACGATCATGATGATGATATTGACGACGACGATGGTGACGAGGATGATTAGGATGACGCGAGGATGATTAGAAGGACGACGATGATGATGATGGTGAGGATGATTTATGGTTGCATGGGTGTCGACAGACAATCAACGTCGACGTGGGCACAGGCGGGGAGCTGTCCACGCTGGCTTGCAGCACCAGCTTGGACATCACAGTGGATTGCGGCGAGCGTTGCCGCACCCCGCCGCGTGCCGCATCACTTGCGAGTGAGACAGGAGCGACCTATCCCAGGCACTACGGGCCCGAGGACGAGCGAGCACGACATGTCGGGGACATCCTGATAATGATGACCCAGAGAATGTCACAACCCAGCAAACAAGGACCACAAGCGTGAACACCACGGAGCTCGCACACACGAGCTTGAACACTACGAGATTGCCGCCCACGAGCGTGAACACGGAGTTGCCGCCTAAGAACGTGGACGTCACAAAGTTTCGGCCCACGAGCGCGGGCACAAGCTTGAATCCGACGAAGCTGCAGCCCATGAGCGTGAAGGCCGCGAAGCTGCCGCCAACGATCGCAAACACCAAGCAACTCCCGTCTTCGAGCGCGAGCGCAACGAAGCTGCCGCCCCCGAGCGCGAAGGCCACGAAACTGATGCCCACGAGCGTGAACACCACGAAGCCGTCGCTCAAGAGCGCCCACGATACGATGCTGCCGCTCACGAGCGTGAACACCGCGATGCTGCCGCCAATAAGCGTGGATTCAACGAAATGGCCGCCTCCGGGTATGAGCGCCGCGAAGCTGATGCCCATGAGCGTGAGCACCGCTACGAGCGTGGGGCACCACGAAGCCACTGCCCACGAGGGTGATCAGCACGAAGCTGCCGGCCACGAGCATATACACCATGAAGCTATTGCCCACGAGTGCGAATGCCACGAATTTGCCGCTTACGACTGTGAACGCCACGAAGCTGCTTCCAATGAGCGCGAACACCGCGAAGCTGCCGCCCACGGGCGCAATCACCACGCTTCCGCCGTCGGGTTTGAAACATTTCGAAACTGATGCTCACGAGCGTGAGCGCCACAGGAGTTGCGCAGGCTCGGACGAACATGATCTCAACGAAGCCGCCGCCCACAGACATGAACAAGGTGCAGCCCACGAGCATGAAGATCACGAAGCTGCCGCCGACAATCGTAAAGGTCGTGATGGCGCCGCCCACGAGCGACACGACGATGGGCTAGTCTACCACGCGCACGATGACCATAACGTTTGTGCCTTTGGCAAAGGGGGGGGCAAGACGCATCAACGAGCGCTGCTACCGTGAAGTCGTCAAGAGCCCAAACAATATGAATGAATATGCGCATGTTTCCACGATGCCCAGCCACGCTCTCGACGGAGCGAGTGGGAGCCTGACGTTGAACACCCCTTCGAAGCAGAAGAAGCAGAAACCACATAATTGATACGAACCGTACGAATACTATGAATAAGAATAACAATATGGATACGAAGAAGAAGGAGACCACGAAGTTGGTGCGCGACGTTGCGACGGCGCAGAGGTGCTTTCTCCACCCAATAGCAGCACCCAGGTTGAACTCGCTGCAAGAGGAAGACAATCTACTGACACCACATGGATAGGCCGAGGCCATCGAGTGCCCAGCGCCGATGCTGCCGGCATGCGAGGGACATGTGGGTCCTGCGGAATAGGTTGACGGGAACCCGTGCACCGCCGTTGCCGAGAAGCCGGATCAGGTGTACAATAATGATGATGTTTTATGGTCGCATGGCTGTCAAAAGACAATCAGCGTCTACGCGGGGACAGGCGGGGAGCCGACAACGTTGGCGTGCATAACCATCTTGGACTTCGCAGTGGAATGCGGCGAGCGTTGCCGCACCCCGCCGCGTGCCGCAGCACCTGCGAGCCTGCGAGTGCGACAGATCGACCTGTCCCAGGCACTGCGGGCCCGAGGAGGAAGGAGCACGACATGTCGGGGACTTCTAATCGGATGACGATGGCGATGGTGATGATGATGGTGGTGGTGATCTTGTTGGTGGTGATGATGGTGATGATGGTGATGATGATGATGATGATGATGATGATGATGATGATGATGATGATGATGATGGTGGGCTTGTTGGTGCTGATGCTGGTGCTGGTGATGCGGATGCTCGTGTTTATGATGTTGTTTGTGGTGATGGTGGTGGTGATGATGCTGGTGGCGGCGACGGTGATGCCGATGATGATGATGATGACGATGTTGATGATGTTGGGGGTAATGCTGATGATGATGCGGCGAATGATGCTGGTGATGGTGATTGTGGTGGCTGTGGTGGTGAGGGTGGTGGATGAAGGTGCGCTTGATGCTGATGGTGATGGCAACGACGGTGATCATGTTGATGGTGGTGGCGATGGTGGTGGTGGTGGTGATCATCATGAGCATCATGATGTTGATGGTGGTGGTGATGGAAATGATGAGAGTGACGTTGAGGAGACGGGAAAGGAGCTTGGCGAGCTAGATGTGCTCACGCCATAAATCACATATGTGATCTGACTTTGTCAACCCCAAAGGTTCCCATGGCGCAGTTTTTCTCAATCCGCCGACGGGGGTCATAGTGGACCTGGCACCCCAGAGTTGAGGCCCGAAGTGGAGCCAGACTGCCATTCTGAACGACGGGGGCCAGGCATGTAGCTTAGTACACCAGACAAAACCCAATCAGTGGATGGCTTGACAATTAGGCGGGCACTCTGCATGGCCGCAGATTCGCTGGAGGAACCGACAAGGCGAAAGGTACTGACTCCCCTTCCGTTTACATGGGTCGCGGCGCTCTCGCCTTTTCGAGCATCCGTCGGTTGAGACGGCCCGAGGCGCCCTCAAAGGATAGACGACCTGACAGGGCCCGTAGACAGCCCTGGACGGCCTCAGCATTGCCCCGCGACGGCCCATTCAGACCGTCCACGCGGCGAAACTGGCCGCAAAATGGCCCAGGAGACCCCAACACGGCTTAACAGGACCCCGAAAGAACCCCAAGGGTGCCCCACGCTTACACAAGACAAGCTGGAGACGACCCAGGTGAGCTCCCAGCCATGTCCAGAAAATAAAAAACACCGCGCGAACACACGCCGGGCCAGACCCTTGAACCAGAAAGTCTCAATCGCCTCCCTGATGGACCATATCTAGTTCTCTCTCTCTCTCTCTCTTTCTCTTTCTCGGACAATTGGCGATTACCTCTCTCTCTCTCTTTTTCTCTCTCTCTCTCTCTCTATCTCTCTCTTTGTTTTTTTTTCTCTCTCTCTCTCTCTCTCTATATATATATATATGTATATATGTATGTCTTTTTGTTTTTCTTGTGTTTGTTCTCTCTCTCTCTATTTCTCTCTTGTTTATTTGTCTCTCTCTCTCTCTATTTTTTTTTATCTCTCTCTCTCTATGTATATATATACACACATCCCTTTCTCTCAGGACATTGGATACACATGCGCACATATATATAGATACTGTCTCTATGTTGTTGTTTCTCCCTCTCTTTTTTTTTTTTCTCTCTCTCTCTCTCTCTCTCTCTCCAGTGCGTCACGGTCCGTGCGCCATGCATCCATACGCCATACGCGTATGCTTATACAAATATATGTATATCCGCTGTGTTCCCTTCCTCTACCGAAGCAACTCGCCGCTCTTTTTCCACATTCTAGCCTATACTCCCCACTTCCGCTGCTCAGCTTTGCAACCTTGTTTCAGGTATGCGGGGTCTATTCGCTGGTCTCTAAATATATCATGTATCCGTTGGTATCCGGTGCCCTTTTGGTCTTCTGCGTTCCTTCCTTTAGCCAGAGGGGGGGGTTCCAAGCTCTCCCCCCCTTTAGCCAAAAAGGGGCAGGGAAGGGGTGGGGGCTTCCGGCAGGGGAGGTTCAAAGGGGGAGGGGGGGTAGCTAAGCCCCCCCCCCTTTTTGGAAAGGGAGGGAGGGGGGTGGGCTTCCGGAGCGCGAAGCGGGGTGGGGAGTCTCCGAGGGGCGGGAAAAAAAGAAGGGGGGGGTGCTTCCGACAGGGGAGGTCCAATGGGGGGGGGGCAGCTAAGCACCCCCCCCCTTTTGGAAAGGGAGGGGGGGTAGCTTCTGGAGCGCGAAAGGAAAGGGGGGGTAGCTTTCGAGGGGCAGGAAACAAGGAAGGGGTTGGGGCTTCCAGCAGGGAAGGTCCAAGGGGGGGGGGTAGCTAAGGGGGGACCCCCCCCTTTGGGAGTGTACCACGGGCGCGCTCTCTCACACCTCTCTTCGGAGGATGTGCATGGGGCGGTGCTTCGCCGACAACCAGTGCAGCGGCCAAGACGACTGCGATTTTCACTTCGACAAGTTCGGTGGGTGGGGCACGGACGACGACGACGACGTCGACGACGACGTCAAGGGGCAAAGGCGCTTTCCACGAGGAGGGGTGGTGGAGTGGGAAGATATGTGGACGTTGGCTCAAGTGGATTCCCTTGGCTCAAGCCAATGCCCTGCCTATGGCGGACGCCACGGAAGCGACCGCCCGCCTCGCGCCCCTTCTTGGCAGGCGAGCGCGGGCGCGGGCGAAGCGGCGGCGGCGCCGCCGCCGCCGCCGCCGGGGCTCGCGGTTGGCGACTTCGATGGGATGGTCAAGCAGTGGCGAAGCGTCTTGGCTCGCCTATAGCCCCACCAAACAACGTTCTAAGAACCTTTTGCGGTTTCCACGAAATGTTCTTAGAACATTTCTGGCTGGGGTTGTCTTGTTTTAACGCATCGGGTTTATATTCTAAGAACCTCGTTTGTGTTCTTAAAATATTCTTGGGGTGTAAGAACATGTCGTGGTAGGACTATAGGAATGCCGGGACGTTCGGTCCCTGCTCAAGATGGTGCTGACGTCCAACGAACCTGCGGTGAAACTGCCCCTGCTGACGACCAAGGATGAGAGCGACACCACCTGGCAGGTGCCAGAGGGCCATGATTCGTTGACCGGCCTGGAAGTGACGTTAGGGGACTTCCGAGCTCTTCACAAGCGCAAGTTCGGCCTGGACGTGGAGGATGTGGAGGACGATAGGGAGGGGCACGCGGAGGAGGTGTCTGAGGCCCGGTGCGATCGCAAGCTCGGCGTGGACGAGGATGACGTTGGCGAGGGCCTGTTCGAGCACGCCGACGGCACCAAGCGGCAGGCGGCCGAGTTCTCGATCGAATATGTGTACGAGGCCGATTGTGTGACCCTCGCTCTGGTTCTCGCTTGCATGTTGCTAGAGTCCGCTCGATCCCAGGGGGGGCCCAAGAACGACCCAGAGCTGGCGGATAGCATGGACATTCTCGGCCTCGGTGCCTCCGAGCCGGGGGGCCAGGCCGAGAAGGAGGAGGAGGTCGTAGAGACGGAGGAGGTCGAGGACGAGGTGGAGGAGGTTGTCGAGGATGTGGGGGCGGTGAGGGCGGCGACGACGTCGACAAGGGGCCAGAGGAGGTTGTGGTTGAAGTGGTGGAGGACGTCGTGGTGGAGGAGGTCCAGGAGGAGGACGACATCAGGGAGGCGGAGGACGTCGAGGAGGTGGAGGTGGTCGTTGAAGGAGTCGTGGAGGGAATCGTGGAGGAGGGCGCCGACGACATCGAGGAGGTGGAGAGCTTCGCGACGGCGGCGGCGGGCCCGGACGGGCACGAGGGCGTGCACGAAGACGCCGACGGTTCCAGGAGGCACGTGCTGGAGGGCCACAGGGAGCTGAGGGGCTTGGAGGCGCGCCTGGATGACCTGAACGTCCTGTACAAACGCAAGTTTGGCGTGGACGTGGGCGAGGACGAACGCGATCCCAGCGAGCAGCACATCGCAGTCGTGGAGGGCCCCTCCTACGAGCGAGACGCGACCGTCCTGATCGTGCCAACGGCGTGCACGGAGCGGCTGCCGCAGCCTGCGGCGGCGGGTCAGGCAGCCAGGCTGAAGGCCGTTCCGTGCACGATGTTCGGGGAGGCTGGCGCGCTGGAGGCAGAGGTGAGCATGCCGAACGGGAAGGTGTTGAATGAGATGGACGCGCTGGTCGCGATGGAGAGCTTGCCGGTCGTGTTGGAGAGTTGCCAGCTGCTAAGACGAGCGAGCCAGACGAGCTGGATAAGCTGCCTGAAGCCGAGGTGAGCATGCCGGACAAGATGGCCGGCTGGAGGCAAAGGGGAACCCGCCGGCCGCAATGGAGAGCTTGCCCGAGGCCACGGTGAGCATGCCAGACGACATGGAGAGCTGGTCGGAGGCCAAGCCGAGCCTATCGGACGAGATAGAGAGCCTCTGGAAGGCCAAGGTGAGCGTACTAGACGCGTTGGGGGGCCGGGCCGAGGTAAACATGCTGGACGAGCTGGAAACACGGCAGTGGCAAAGGTGAGTTTACCGGAGGAGATGGAGAGCTTGCTGGAGGCCAAGATGAGCATGTCGGACAAGATGGAGAGCCTGCCGGAGGCCAAGATGAGCATGCTGGACGAGATGGACAGCCTGCCGGAGGCAAAGGTGAGCATGCCAGATGATCTGGAGGTCGGCCGAGGCTAAGATGAGTTTGGTGGGCGCATCGGCTGGCACGCTGGATGCCATGGGGAGCACGCTGGGCGTAGTCGTAAGGGCGGACCCGTCGCAAGCCGCCAGGAGCTTGATGTACGTCACTGTGCTGGCCGAGGTCCACGGTTGGAGCTCGAGCGGCGCGTCGGTCCTGGACTGCCTGGAGCGGCTCGCGGGCCTCGCTGCGCGCTGCGAGAGGCTTGGTCGCTCGCGGCTGCGGATGGGCTGCAAAGCCGAGGGCGACGTGCTTCCGCGCGGAGGCGTAGCCTACGCCATGGCTGCGCAGTCGCTGAGGGAGAAGGCGTCGTCGCGGGGCCTCCCCAGCAGCGGACGGGGTGCTGGGGCACTTCTTGTTCAAGGACTTGCTCTGCATGCCTGTCGGGGCGGGCTGCCTGCCGCCCCCTGCGGCCGTGGCCGAGTGAGTGCCGCGCGATTGATGGCGCGCCGCCTCCGCTGCACTTGCAGGGTGCTGCTGGGTTCCGCTGCTGCGTTGCTCGTCGGCGTGGCCCCTGCCACAACCACCACGTCTACTCGAAGGGGAGTTCGACATCTTCGGTGTCTTCGATCCGCGGTCCTGAGGATTTAGGGTCGCCCGCTTTCCCATTACAGGAGTGGGTCGTTTCAAGTAATTGTTTTCCTCCGATTCTGTCGCATTCGGTACACCCCGCGAAATGCGGCCGACGGGTCGCAATCCAGTTTCTGCCGCGCCCCTCCGCCAGAATAGGCAAATTCTATCGTAACCGGGCCTCGCCGTGCAATGCGGCCTCCCCTTCCTCTTCCTTGCCCCCCTTTTTCCTCTGTTCGTTTGACCTGATCTTAACTTAGTATGTCTCGCTCGGTGGCGTGCGCTCTGCTCCATGCCGTTTTGGCCAGGCGTCTCGCCGGTGGTGCTTCGAGTCCGCGCAACGCGCTCGTGCCCTGCAGGGAAGCGCGGGGGCCAGCGTTTCAGAGGAGGTTTGCGATGTTTTGGGGCAGGTGCGGTTGGAGAAAAATGTAGAGGCGTAGGAGGACCGAGGGAGAGGATGAGGAGAGGAACAGGAGGCGAGGAGCAGGGCAACGAGGAAGTTTGATGAGGCGAGGGGGAGGAGGAGGAGCTAGGACGATAGGGATGATTATGTGGTGGAGGGGGGGGGGAGACAAGCATGAGACAATCCAGCACATCGTTGGTTTTAGACAAGGCAAAATCACGTTCGGAGCCGACGTCAGGCTGAGCGTCTTCTCTTTTCTTGTGTTTGGAGTACTAAATATTTCACAGGGAGATGCCGATTGTCTTCACGGCGTCTTCGTGTGGGCCGCGTGCCCAAATTGCGACGTCGCCGCTATCATTTCAACCATTACACCTTCATTATGGTTCAAGCGATTTGGACTCAAGCTTTTGTGGCTTCACCGCTATGGCTCTAAAGCCGAATGGACGGCCCGGCTGTTGTTGTTAACGTAGATTTTCCGTATGAAGGAGATCTGCGCGATGCGTGCTCTCGGCTCCCTGGCCCAAGTATTTCGGAAACCATGCCCGCAAGTCAACACGTCGAACCGAGCTGACAGATGCGCAGACGCGTTACAAGGACCAGCGCGAAGCTTCATCAGGCGCACGGTAACTTTCAAAGACGCTGTGCTCTTTGTCGAGGCATTCGGGCAAGAAGCGTGCCGCGTCTTTGGACGCATTGCCTCGTCAATTTGGTTAATGGGCTATTGTGGCGGCTGTGTCGACCGAAGAGGCCTCCCAGCGAGTCACCGCCGACCCTTGTGGCCGAAGACTTCTGAATCGAACAAATGTTGTGCGTCTTGTGGCCTTGAAGTTTCTGGGGCCTCTGAGGCCCTCTTGGCGACATCCCACTAAGGCAGTCTTGGGTTTTCTTGGGGCCATAGGACCGTCTCGAGGACCCTTTTGGCTTAGACCAGGTCATATACAAATGATGGCCGTTTTCCCTCGCAGCGGGAGCAGCTGGTATTAAGTTGAACAGACGTCCCACATACAACAACAAGCGACACTATCGTGGGGTTTTCGCTAGGCCCTCATAGGCACTCTTGGGTCACAACTTGGCTGTTAAGCGAATCTCTAGAAATCTTGCATTCTTCCTGGTCGTCCTGGGAACCCCCGGCCGCCAGGGGGTTGTCCTGGCCCGTTTTGAGTTGCTTGGCCAAGGGAACGCGGTGTGGTGGTAATGCGGGTTGTTTGTCCTGTATGTTTGGAGCCCCGACGGCACCACACTCAACGTTTTTGGGGTGTGTCCCTGGGAAGCCAGAAATCGAACAGACGCGGCTGAAGCGGTGCTAGCTTTAGCCACCTGGTCTTAAGGTACGGGCCACGCGTTCAGCCACAATTGCAGCTTTTCTTCCAACATGTTCGCCAGCGTGGACCCCAAACAGTGTGTTTCTAGCCACCTATGTTGCGCACATGTGTTGTGCATCCGATGTGGGCCAACCAATGCGGTACAAGCGAGTTTTGTGGTGCAGTACATGTTGTGCTATATATGTGGAGCAAGCTGTGTGAAGCAATATATGTGGTACAACTATGGTGTGCAATATCTGTTGTGCAATCCACGTGGTGCAATAAAAGCGGTTTTAAATTATGGTGTGCGATCCATGTGGTGCAGTATATGTGGTGCAGCCTACGTGCTGCAATATCGAATGGCCTTCGGCCCATCCCGCCACCGTGACTGGGCTGCGGGCATGAAGCCTATTGGATGTTAGTTGGGATCTTGTGGGAGTCCTCTCGGGCGCCTTGTGGAGGCAGTTTGGAGGCCTCTTGGGGGCAGTCTGGTGGCCTTTGGGGGCCTCTTTTGGGCCTCTTGGGGTTCTCGTGGGGCTTTTGGGGGGCCTCTCGAGGGCCTTTTGGGGCCTCCTGGGCTCTCTTGGGGCCTCCTGTAGACCTCTTGAGGCTGAAGGCTCGGATGTTCGGTTCGTGTTCCCTCTCGTGTGCCCCGTTTGGGGCCCTCTTGGGCCGTCTTGCTTATGTTTGTGTGATTCAATATGCGTGGCGCAAGCTTCGCTGTGCGAAGGACATTTCGTGCAAGCTACGCGGTGCACCCCTTGCTGTGCAAGCAATGTGGCGCCGACGCTGGCGTGCGTGGCGGCATTCCGTTGTTCGGAGCTTAGCACGCTGGCCCGGGCAATAGTTGTCATGGGCAGCTCACCCACCACGACAGCCGAGACCGCTTAGCTCGCAACCCGGATTCGTAGAGGCCGAGTCGTTTGGACATGGGCTTCAAAGGCAGCCATGTGGTGAAAGCTGTGCTGCGCAAGCTGCGCGTTGGATTTGCGGCCGCCCAGCGGGCGCCCGCGGGTCGGCCGCCGTCGGTGCGCCTGCAGCCACCCAGCGCAAGAGGCGCCCACGAAGCGCCCGTCCCGGCGGACCCACCTGATGCACGGGGCGCCCACGGGCGGCAACCAACCAACCAGGCACCAGGCGAAACTTCGGCACACGCACCCGATTATTCAAGAACAAAATAATGCGGATATTGAAAAAGCAATCGCCGTCTTGGGCGTAGAAACCCCAGCGCACTGAACCCCTCATGCCAGGGAGGGGGCAGAAGGACATGGAGCGGGAAGGGAGGGGCAAGGGGGAGGAGGAGGAGGAGGAGGAGCAGGAGGAGGAGGAGGAGGAGGAGGAGGAGGACGACGACGACGTCGACTACGACGGGAGGTGGAGGGTCAGCGCCTGGTGCTAGCACGCCCACCCCATCGGTTTTAATCCGCTCAAAGTGGGCCACCGGGCTCCTTCCAGGTTCCAAACGCACAAGTTTGTGGAGTTGCGTTTAGCGATGGCGACGAGGAGGGCCCCCCCCCGAAGGCCAAGAGGCCTCGCTCCTCCTCCGTCCTCCTACTCCTACTCTCTCCCTCCCCCCCTCCTCCTGACTTGTTTTGGCTCGCTGCGCGCGCGCTACCGGCATCCAGGGTCACAGTGCCACCTCAGCCTTCCAGATTTCCATGAACAGTTTGTGGTCGCGCTTCGAAAAGGCAAACTGTGGGGTCGACAAGTCGATGCCACACGTCGTATTCAAAAAGTGAAATGCCTGGAATGGGACGGTCAGACAAGGGCCAGTTGAGACAACGGTAGTTGGCCTTCCAGGGGCCTCCTCGTCGCTGCTTTTGGATGTAGCTCGGAAAATTGGTGCGTTTGGACACAGGGAGGGCTCCGCGGACCCAACAGCCGACGGATGGCGACGAGAGGGGCGCCTCGGTCCACCCTGAGGGCGGAGTCGAAAACGTGGACAGAGTCTGAACCCGTGCTTCAATGGTTGTGGTATATCGGGCGCATTATCGGGAGTTTCGGGGGCCACCGCAGAGCCATTCTGGGGCCTTTCGGGGCCTCTTGGGTCCTCGAGTCGCTATGGTGGAGGTCAGCTGGGTTGACTTGGGCCGCTTGGCGCCATCTTGGAATCAAGTTTATGAGACTTGGGTTCATGTAGGAGTCTCCCAAAGAGACATGGGTGGTTTGGGAAAGGCTGGTCTACTAGACCACCTACGCCGCATGGCTCATAGAATTCTCGAGATGACGATAAGCCGGTGTGTATGATTTTGTGCTGTACACGTGTTGAGTCGTAGGAGTTTCAATGCTGTGTTGCCCCAGCGTGTGAATCATTTGGCCTCCTCTGTCGTGTTCGAATTCGCCCAGCACGTACACACTATAGTTGTTGGATGTACCAGCCAGTGCGTTCGGGGGGACTCGCGCGGCTTGGAAGGTGTTTTTTTTTTTAGCTCGACCTCTGCTTGACCCCCATCGAGTGGGGACCACCTCTCCTCACAGCACAGCCAGGAGGCTGAGACTGCAGCGGCAGCGCCACTGTCGGGGCCATGCCCCCGTGGCGTGCCCTGAGCGCGAACAGGGAACGCAAGGAGACCGTGCTCCGCGCTCCCTGATCGGGGTAGGGGGCGCCGGAGCCGTGCTCCGACGCCCAACCTACCCACCACCTACTCCATAGGTGGCCGCGGTTTCGGACCCCGGGACACCCAGGACCGAACCAAAAAAGGGAACACGACACGACGCGACACGACGGGGGGACGCAACGGACGACACGACACGAACGACACGACACGGACGAACGACACGACAGAGACGAGCCGCCGGTCCCGCCCCAGGGCGGCGAGCGCTGGGGGGAACCAGCACCGCCCTGGGGGAGGCCACGGGACCTGGCGACCCCCCCGGGGGAAGGAAACCGCACTTTGGCGGCGTCCCCCGGGGTGCGGGGGCTTTTCGCCCCTCGGGCCCGGCGCTCCCCGCCTGCGCCAGGAGGACCCTAGGGTCCCGACCCCTCCCCTACGGGAGGGGCCCCCTCGGGGCCTTGGAAGGTGATTTGGGCAGGACATGGGAGGAGGAGGAGGAGGAGGAGGAGGAGGAGGAGGAGAAGGAGTAGGAGCAGGAGGAGGAGGAGGAGGGAATGGGAAGGGAGGAAGGAAGGGCAGGAGGTAAGGCGAAGGGCAATGGAGGGAGGGAGGGAGAAAGGGGCAGAGAAGGGAACTCGAGGAAAAAAGGATGGAGGGGGATAAAAGGGAAGGGGGGGAGGGGGATGGGAGGAGGGGGAGTGAGGGAGAAGGGAAGGGAGGAGGGGGAGTGAGGGTGAGTATTTTTTCTGGTTCCAGTGGTCT